CGCCAGCCTAGCCAGAGGCGGGGAAGTTGGGGTGGGATACAAGGGAACGAAAGAGAAGTCAGAGTCCCGTGTGAATACCAGGCGCTCAGCCTCAGCCGTAACATCCCCTCCCTCCCAACCCTTCCTCTGTATCCGACACAGCTCTGCTTTGGGTGAAAGTGGCTCCTCAGCCTCGTAGGGAGCGAAGGAGAGAGAGAGAGGGAGGGGCTTTCTGCTCCGGTGCACACAGATTTATGGCTCCCAGGATGCACCTGGGTCGTAGGATCCCGAGTTCCTTTTTCTCTCAATACTCAGAGTTCGGAAATAAAAGCCCAAATATTCCCCAGACTGCCACAACCGGGGAAAGGTTGCAAGGCAAGCCCATCCCCTCTGCTTAAAAAAAAAAAAAGCACTCCTCCTGTGAATGATGAAGAGCTGGTTAGAAGGAAACACGCCTACGCAGTCTAGGGAACCTTCCACCAAAAACCGATACACACTCCTTTAAAGGAGAAGACAAACCAGCTAGTCTATAGGGCTTTATAACCACTGACTGCATCCTGAGTTGCGCCTGCAAACATCGCTACCTGGGCGGTCGATTTACTGATCACCCTGTCCTGGGCCATGATGGATGGCTGTTGTTGTTGGGTTTGATAAGCTATGGATGTGTTCTCTATTGGGCACGGTATGGACCAGGTACAGAAAATCCAAATAGTCTCCCGCAAAAGTTTACCAATCCATTGGATACAATAGGGCTGTGTCTAGACTGGCAAGTTTTTCCGGAAAATCAGCCGCTTTTCCGGAAAACCTTGCCAGCTGTCTACATTGGCCACTTGAATTTCCAGAAAAGCACTGACCATCTAATGTAAAATCATCAGTGCTTTTCCAGAAAAACTATGCTGCTCCCGTTCGGGCAAAAGTCTTTTTCCGAAAGACTTTTGCGCAGAAGGGCCAGTGTAGACAGCACAGGACTGTTTTCCTCAAAAAAGCCACGATGGCGAAAATGGCGATCGGGGCTTTTTTACGAAAACCGCGTCTAGATTGGCCACAGACGCTTTTCCGCAAAAAGCGTTTTTGCGGAAAAGCATCCTGCCAATCTGGACGTGCTTTTCCGAAAATGCTTTTAACGGAAAACTTTTCTGTTAAAAGCATTTTCGGAAAATCATGCCAGTGTAGATGTAGCCTAGGTGTCACCATCCTTATTAGCTTAGAATCAGAAGGGTCGCCCTGTTCATCCGAATCTGCATAAACAACTAGAAATCCTGTGGCACCTTACAGACCAACACATTTATTGGAGCACAAGCTTTCTTGGGCATAAGTGGGTCTTTTGCCCACAAAAGCTCGTGCTCCAATAAATCCGGTGGTCTATAAGGTGCCATAGGACTTCTCCTTATTTGCCCATTTTCTGTAAGCATGGCTTTTGGACCTCCCTCTCGGGTCTAGCAATTTAGTTTGGTAATTGTGATGTTATTAAAATTAAATGAATACACTAGTAGGAAATTGTTTTATTTCACTAACTACACATTTTCCGTTTTTTTAAAATTTTAAACAGTAAAAAAAACCATTGGAAAGTGCAAACGTGTAAAAAGCCAGCAAAAAAGGGAGCGGCCAAAAACGTTTTTTGCTTCGGGCGGCAAAAAACCTCGAGCTGTCTAGATCATCCCTGATAGACGTTTATCTAATCTGCTCTTCAATATCTCCAGAGATGGGGATTCCACAACCTCCCTGGGCAATTTATTCCAGTGTTTGACCACCCTGACAGGTAGGAACTTTTTCCTAATGTCCAACCTCAACCTCCCTTGCTGCAGTTTAAGCCCCTTGCTTCTTGTTCTATCCTCAGAGGCCAAGATGAACGAGTTTTCTCCCTCCTCCTTGTGACACCCTTTTCGATACCTGAAAATGACTCTCATGTCCCCCTCTCAATCTTCTAAACTAAACAAGACCAATTCTTTCAGCCTTCCCTCATAGCTCATGTTCTCTAGACCTTTCATCATTCTTGTTGCTCTTCTCTCGACCCTCTCCAATTTCTCCACCTCTTTCTTGAAAGGAAGTGGGACTCTAGGAAAGGCGGGTGGAGCAAAGACGAGGGTGTTGACCGGGATTTTAGGCCTGGCTGTGGGCCAGAGGAAGGAGACAGGCGAGCACGGTGGCCAAAGCCAGGAGAGAAACTCCACCAAGATGTTGTACCTCTTACAACCAAGCTGACTTTGAGCGCCCGCCGTAACAATTTGTGTTTTAAGGTCCACGGCGGGCCTGTTGCTCAGAGGCGCTTGGAGCTTTGACGACACCGGAGCCAGGCAGAGATAGATCTGGAGGGAACAGGGCATGGACTTGGAAAAGTATCCCCATACGGTGGGCTCAGAACACAGACCAGCAGGGAAGCCCGGAGTGACGGCCCCTAGAATGGAAGATCTCCATGCATCAGCAAGATGTGATGACCAGCCTCCTACAAGGGGTAGATAAAGCTGGCACAGTGGAAGGGACATTGAGTGAGGAAGTCAGAAGTGGGGTGGAAAAGTAGAAACTCAACCTTGGATTCCTCCAGCTCTCTCGTCAACTTCTCCCCGCCACCAACTGCAACGACGGATGGTGACCATGCCCACGCCTGCTCCGTCAGCCCGGCTCTGGGCCTCCAGCGTGGCTGGGTTTGGAGGCCCACCAGGAGGGAGTCCCCAGAACTTGGTTGACTTGGAGAACCAACACTTCTTCTACAGGGAGTCTTTGGTCATAGCTTTTAGGTATTGCGGTCAGTTTTCCAGAATAAATACACCGTGGCCGGTCCCTTCTCCATCACGGGGGACGAGCCATGCTCAGGTGAGTTCTACCAGTCTCCACGACTGCAACAATATCTCCTCTGGGTACCAGAGAACGGTGTTGCGTGTTTCTGTCCCAGAAGGCACCTTCAATGAATTGTCCTTTGAGGTTTGGTGAAGTCCAAAGTGGGGGCACCTGGATCAGCCACCAGGCCCAACCTAAGAGGGATGAGAGGAGGTAACCCACCACCAATGCGGGTGGGCCACAGAAGCAGATAACAGCCTACTGCTGCTACCCAACCATGAGATGTACTTCTGCATCTCTGTGATGTTGGCACTTACGGTGGTGGCGTCAATCCCTGCCGGTGACTCGGTAAACCACGTAATGTGCTGGTTTGCAGGCTAACAACCTACTGCTGCTACCAGCCGACAGCCTTCCTCCCGCAGCTCCGTTAGTTAGGACTGTGCAGTCAAGCCCTCTGGCAGCCTTGTCCACGTGACAGGATAACAGCTTGCTACTGCTACCAGCCGGGGGAGTTACATGGGACAGTCCTCCTCAGTTGTGGTCCTGAAAATCCTCAGCTCTGCTCTGGTTCGGCATGTGCCATGGGAGATGGTCACATAACGAGGTGGTCCAGGTAGGAGGTTAATAGCATTCCGTGGCTCACGACGTTCAGCTGGGATTTTGGGTGGATCGGCTCCCTGCTGATGAGAAGAGAAGGGTGGACCCCCGGAGGGGCCAGAAATAGCCGACAGGGACATCTCAGAAGTTGAGGCTCAGCAGGGCTTCTGAGAGCTTGTTGAGGTCCCGGCTGCACGGTTCTCGGTGCAGGACAAAATCCACCTTCTGCTCCTGCCCCATGCAGATGGCCAGCAGGGCCTGCCTCAGCCGCTCTGTCTCCCACGGCATCCGTACTGCCTCCGCCTCCTCTGCCTTCTCCTCCTGGCCGGGCCCGCAGCCGCAGCACCTCTGTCTGGGACGCCGGCCGGCTGGGGGCGGGAAGGGGGACCCCGCGCCCCGCGAAGGAGTGGCACGTGGGTGGCTTCGGCCTGCCAGGAGGAACATGGAGAGAAAGTGAATTTCCGCTCCCGACCACCCCAAGCGTGATCCCCTGGTGGTGGGCAGTTCCTACGTCTGACCAGCAGGGGGCAGGTAAGCATCTGGCAGTCAAAAATACCAGCCTTCAAGGGGAGGAGTCATAGAACACGAAGTGACCTTAAGTCATCAAGTCCTGTCCCCTGCTCTCACGGCAGGACCAAGCGCTGTCTAGACCAGTGTTTCTCAAATTTTGTTTTATAAAGTACCCTTTTTTATAATAATCTTCTAGAGCTGGAAGGGACCTTGAAAGATCATTGAGCATTCCTCTGCCTTCGCAGTAGAACCAAGTCCCATCCCTGGCAAATTTTGAACTCAACCCTGAGTTTAGCAGGCCAGTGCTCAAGCCACTGAGCTGTCCCCCACAACTTACTGAGTTGTAGCCGGGTGGGTGATGAAATTTTGGGGTGTAAAAAGTCCAAAAATAATCAAGCGCTGTAAAACGTAGAACAAAAATTCCGTTTGCTCCAAATTTCAGTTGTGTTGACATGCCCCGCCCCCAGACTTCTCTCGAGTACCCCTAAGGGGACTCGTACCGCTGGTTGAGAAACACTCGTCAAGACCATCCCCGACAGGCGTCTGTCCAACCTGCTCTTCAATATCTCCGAGGATGGAGATTCCACAACCTCCCTCGGCAACTTCGTCCTGTGTTTCACCACCCGGACAGGCAGGAAGTTTTTCCTAATGTCCAACCTAAACCTCCCTCGCTGCAGTTTCAGCCTATTGCTCCTTGTCCTGTCTTCAGAGGCCAAGATGAACAATTTCTCTCCCACCTTGTGATGCCCTTTTAGATACTTGAAAACCGCTCTCCCGCAGCCGCAGCACCTCTGTCTGGGACGCCGGCCGGCTGGGGGCGGGAAGGGGGACCCCGCGCCCCGCGAAGGAGTGGCACGTGGGTGGCTTCGGCCTGCCAGGAGGAACATGGAGAGAAAGTGAATTTCCGCTCCCGACCACCCCAAGCGTGATCCCCTGGTGGTGGGCAGTTCCTACGTCTGACCAGCAGGGGGCAGGTAAGCATCTGGCTGTCAAAAATACCAGCCTTCAAGGGGAGGAGTCATAGAACACGAAGTGACCTTAAGTCATCAAGTCCTGTCCCCTGCTCTCACGGCAGGACCAAGCGCTGTCTAGACCAGTGTTTCTCAAATTTTGTTTTATAAAGTACCCTTTTTTATAATAATCTTCTAGAGCTGGAAGGGACCTTGAAAGATCATTGAGCATTCCTCTGCCTTCGCAGTAGAACCAAGTCCCATCCCTGGCAAATTTTGAACTCAACCCTGAGTTTAGCAGGCCAGTGCTCAAGCCACTGAGCTGTCCCCCACAACTTACTGCCCAGCCAGATTAAGGAATTGAACAAACTGTGCACTTTCCCCTTGCTCCATGACAAAGGGGAACAGCCATCAGTGTTCCTGTATGAATCGGGAGTTGGGAGGGGTCAGCTGTGCTTCAATCTGTCAGCCTTCCCTAAAGGGCACCTGGGGGGTGGGAGGCTTGGGGCTAGGGCAGTCTTGGAGTGGGGAAGGTGGTGTGCCCCCAGCCAGCCCCTTTCATCTGCCTGCTGATTCTGTCTCTTTTCTGTATGGTTTTCTGAGATGAAATCCCATTTTCCTCCCTCGGCAACTTCGTCCTGTGTTTCACCACCCGGACAGGCAGGAAGTTTTTCCTAATGTCCAACCTAAACCTCCCTCGCTGCAGTTTCAGCCTATTGCTCCTTGTCCTGTCTTCAGAGGCCAAGATGAACAATTTCTCTCCCACCTTGTGATGCCCTTTTAGATACTTGAAAACCGCTCTCACGTCCCCTCTCGGTCTTCTCCTTTCCAAACTAAACAAGCCCAGTTCTTTCAGCCTTCCCTCCTAGCTCATGTTCTCTCGACCAATGTTTCTCAACCAGTAGTATGAGTCCCCTTTATGGGTGCTTGAGAGAAGTCCCGCTGAGTGATCAGGGCTGGCCCTGCCTCAGGAACGTGGTGCATGCGCAGTACCAGCCCGGTACCCGGCGCGTGTGCAGCCCCGCCCCCGGGTGCCCAGCAGCCCCAAATGATTGGAGACCATGGCTCTAGACCGTTCATCATTTGTGTTGCTCTTCTCGGGACCTTCTCCAATATCTGCCCCTCTCTCTCTACTGGCTAATGGGTTAGCCAGCTGGGAGCCTTAATGAAGGGCAAGGTCTTTATTCCTTCAGTTCCAGGGGGATTTTAACAGGCATTTTTGTAAATGCTAGTGCAGCATTGGTCAGCTGGGCTCTTCGCACACCAGTTCATGTGGCTGTCCTGCAGGGCCCCTTGTCCCTACCTCTTAGAATCCAGCGGTAAAACTAATTCTCCTCCTGCTTTTGCCTCCACTTCTAAATAATTATAGAACTAACTGGCCCAGTTTCTTTTTAACAAGGTAAGTTGTATCCAGCTTTCCCCAGTACCTTCAATTCCCCATCTATACCTAGGGTTGATGTCTCTTCAGGTTTTCCCAGGATCGTCTTTTTTTGTTTGTTTTGTTTTTTGGTTTGCCCAAGATTGTGATTTCAAATCTGTCAGGGTGCTTAGCACATACTGCCAGATTCCACAACCTCCCTCGGCAACTTCGTCCTGTGTTTCACCACCCGGACAGGCAGGAAGTTTTTCCTAATGTCCAACCTAAACCTCCCTCGCTGCAGTTTTAG